CGCCGCTTGAGACTCGACAATAAAAGATCGTCCAAACGCTAACAACCTACCGCAGATCTAATGTCGAAACATAACGGCGTGCTCCGTGACGGATGCAAAAATGTCTCTAACGTTTCTCGACATAGACTCGACGCATGCACGTTGCGTCTCTACATGTTTAACGTCATGCGCGAGTTGGTAAACTATCCGCTTGTCTCTCCAGCTTGCTTTTCAAGAAATCGAGCCCCATTGGTGCTCAAATTTAATGACGCATAAGGAGCGGGACCAAATCCTCGATCGGGTCGTCTCGACCACGTGGAATCGCGTCGGACGCTCAAAAAAACCGGGGGTCTCCCTCCTCCCCCCCGCCCCAGCTCAAAACCACGGCCCAGCACGGCCGATGGATTTGCAATCAGCTGCTCCTGCGCCGTCGGATCTCGTGCAGCACAGCACGCGAACTGATCATCTTAGGGTTTGGGTTTAATTTAATTTAATCAATAGTGGGACAAGCTTCTAATTTGGACCCCACCACCCCGCCCCCCACCAGACTTAGTAAAATTTGGCGGTAGGACCTTAGCATTATATAAAGAAATCGTCGGTGGTCCCACGTCAGAGGGCAACGCCGCGGCCAATCAGATCCCCGGGGGGGGGGGGGGGTTTGCCGAGCTTCCTTCGCTCCGCTCACGCTTTTGGGGCCCGCCGGCTCCGGTGGGCCCCACGCGGACACGTCAGCCGTCATCATTCCGATTGGTTCGAGTGGCTCCAATCGAATGATGCCACGTCAGGTGGCGGGGGAAGCTTTTGTTTTGTTTCGCCCACGGGGCACGGCGGGCCCCACACATTCGTACATCCGGATGACGTGGCACGCGCGCGCGCGCGCACGTCTGTCGCGAGCCGAGGTTAGGTTTCGACCCCCGCGAGCTCGTGCCTGGAACTGGGGTAGTTGAAATTCCAGGTCAGCCTTTGGCTACTCTAGAGTTCCAAACCATTCCACAGAAAGGACGTGTTATAAGGAGTCGTCCTCTTAGAAACAATCGTGATTCGTCATTCGGCTTTAGGCGTTCCGAAGTTCTATTAATAAGAACGTTACAAATTTGCTTACACGAATGCCATAAAGTAAATAGTGTTGACATGACGTCCGCATGGCTTAAGTGAAATAAAAATGACGTTGTTTTGGCTGAAAAATTATCTAACGGAACTTTGATGAAACGTAAATATGTCACATAGGTATAAATTTTTGGTTTTCTATCTCACAAAAAAAAATTTCACGACAAATGTCTCACGATGGGTATAAATTCAGAGTAAATGTGTCACAATGAGCATAGTTTGTGATTTTCTTTCCGTTAATACTATAAACAAGAGCAAGAGAATTACATCAGATGGTACTCAATTTTCCTTTTCAATATAGCCAAAGCAACGTTAAATCGGGGCTTTGTTAGGATACTCATGAGTAATAACTATTTTCCTTTTAGGCGAGTCTTCAATAGAGATTACTTTACCCTTCGAATCGAATGTGAGGATTCGACTTCGAAAGTAAGGAATCACCAATCACGATTAATAAAACTCAGCTATGATTTCAAATCTTCGTCTCGTTTCGATTCATTTGGTCCCAATGGATAATACAAACAAATGTGAGATTTGAGACTCGTTAAAAAAGCAAATGTGAGATCTCAAAAAGAGGGTGTCCAGTGTCCATCATTTTTTTTTTGTTTTTGTTTTAGAACATGAGAGACAAGATTAGTGAAGAAGATCCGAGGAAGGTCAAGAGCAGCAAATCAGGCTTTTACCTAAGCGGGGATGATAAAGTGCTGCTGGCCATTAAAATAAAGGCAAGCAAAGTAAGAAACGACACCTTTGAGTCAAATAAAGGAGGAGATTAACCACAGAAAACATTTAAGTGTTCCCCAAGAAACATCGTTAATGTCAAAGAAACAAAAATCGGATACGTTTAAGCATTTCGATAGAAAAGTGTCCTATGATATTTATGTAGAAGCTATTCGAGAGAAGTTTGTTATTTTCAGGGTAAAAGTCACCAAAAATCCTAAATTATGTTCATTGTAACACATTTATCCTAAACTCTTTTTTCATGACACAAAAAATCTCAAACTTATACCCGTGTGGCACATTTTAGAACCGTTAAAAATCTGCCTACACGGATACAGTAAAGTAAATAGTGTTGACATGGCACCCACGTGGTTTAAATGAAATGAAATTGAAAATCATCTTATAGAACCTTGATAAAGGGTAAATGTGTCGCATAGGTACATGTTTGGGGTTTTTTATGTCACAAGCAAAATTTCATGGTAAATGTGTCGTAATGAGCATAGTTTGAGGTTTTTGATATCACAAAAAAAAATTTAGGGCAAATGTGTATAGCTGTAATATATCTAATGAAACCGTCGCTAGAATTGAGATTTCATTCAAAGAGAAATGTTCTTTTTGTATATTATACGAATGATCCGATCTACAATGACCCGAGTAAGAGGCGAAACATAATTCACTCGAATACGCGACGGCCGTTCGAAATCTCAGTTAAATACCGGATTTGTCATCTCATGTTTTCCTTTCGCGACAAAATTACCAACTGAAGAGGAGGGGTCCGGGCATAAATTTGAGGTGTTTTCGCGACATTTTTTTCCCCTTTATTTTCGATACGTTACGTTTTTTCTTGCGACACACGTCATCGTAGCCTAGAAGATCGAAGCATTCTCTACTGCTGAATACGCTCAACGAAAGGTATCTCGGGGGCACTCGTTAACAAGACCCCCTCGCATTTGTACTGATCACACGTGACATCTTGGGACTAAGGAACGAGCGGGGTCATTAAATATACGCTAATCAGGGGAAGCGAAAAGCGGTTTTCTGATGGGAACACAGAAAACTACAGGGGAAGGTGGTGGGCAGTAATCATTTCGTGAAATTGGTATCCAGCCTTTCGTTTCTCAGGAAACCCCAAAGCATAAAACATGCTGCGCTCTCCCTCTCTCTCTCTCACCCTCTCTCGATCTCGAAGACGACGATGGAGGGAGGGGGAGGAGGTTCTCGGGTATAAAAGGGCCTTCCCCGTCCCTCATTTCCTCCATCCTCCCCGTTCATTCGTTCCCTTCCATTCTTGCGTTTCGTCCTCGTCCCGTGTTTTTGTTTTCGCCGTCTCTCTCGAAGATCTCCTCCTCTTCGTCCCGGGATTCCCCCGCTTCCGCCGCGGCGCTCGAAGGTAACGTCTCTGCTTCCGACCACATCGACCATCGAATGTTCTGATGCGAATGCGTATCGATCCGTCGAAAACTTTTTTTTTCCCCTAAGCCGGCGGGGGGGGGGGGACAAGAAACGGGTCGCTTTTGACCGGCCGAGCGGGGTTCGAGATGCCGCCGGTCCGGATATTCTTCTTCTCGCTGAACTCGGATTTTGTCAATCCGCGACGATGCTCCGAGCGTTACGCGATCGTGCGCGCTTCGGATCGATCTCTTTTATTTTTTCCCTCCTTCGCTCGAATCTCGGGAACACGCGATTCCTTACTTCTCGCTAAGGACGAAGTTCTTCGCTCCTAAAACTATAATTAGCGTGACGGTGTTACTCTGTTTCAACGTTTGGGATGTAACTCTTTGCGAAAACGACGCTCGATCTGCCTCCTCAACCACGCCAAACAGGCCCGAAACTTCCAAAAAGAAAGTTATTTTATTTTATTTATTTTAGTGGATAATTTAATTTCCTCTTGCATTCAAAAGTATCTGCACTGCGTGAGCATATTCTCCAAAGATCCTTACGAGTTACGACCGTCCTTTATTATTTTTCCTGTTTTTTATCCGGGAAAAATAATAAAATATGAAAAAAAAGATGGAGATAAGGTTGGTGAAAATTTCTCTTTAATGGGATTAATTTGGTTTAATTAAGACGCAAATCGCGAGGCAAATCCGATGGACAACAACACCTAAAGTTCTTGCCGGGCGATCGTGACCGTCGAAACCCCACCACCCAAGCGAAAGGACGGGGTGGTGGGCCCGCCGTTACTGTGCGCCGCAGCTACACGCCGTCCCTACCAAAAGGCACCAATCAAGGGCTTAGATTTCGCAAGTCATTTAATACTCTTTTTTTATTTTATTTTATTTTTTTATTTTTTATTGTTATTTTTTTTGGATTGTTAGGTTGCTTGATGATCAAGAACTACTGTGCAGGCAATTTCCTCCACTCTTGTGAAAAGTAGACGAACCACTTGCCCTCCAATGTAAAGAGCGCACAAATCGCATTGATTTTAGGATAAATACATGATACGACGCGAAAACGACGCGAGGTAAAGGATACACCGTGATTCACATTGCCCCCGAGGGAGACTGTCGGTACACATTCGACATGAAAAACAATTTTGACCAATCACGAACGGCGGATACGACCGCGAAGGAACAATCTTTTTTGTAATTTTGTCGACGGGATCGCATGTATACTCTCTTCCGATATGAAATCTCTCCATTCTAATGTGATCTCTCTCTCTCTCTCTCTGTTTTCCGATTCTCTATTAGGACATGAACTGTTGTGCAAAGAATTTCTTAGGACATAAACTGGTTTTCTTGGTCAGGGGTACAGGAGGGGTTAGGACAAGAAGAGAAAGATCGCTGTCGTATTTCTCTGTTTTCTTTATTATTTCCTCCCCTCAATATTTTTCGTTAGTTTCCCTTTTTAAATTTCTTCCTGTTCGTACTGTTTTCCTATAAATGTGCCCCTCATCAGCACGGCCAGAGCACACTTCTGTGTTCTAGGTTGCGTTCACCCCGTTTTCTGTTTCTTGGTATTTTCCCTTTCTTGCTTTCGCTTTCTCCCCTGGTTTTCTTGCCCTGTGATGCAGTAGTAGTGGCTGTTTCGTTTTGGGTGATCTCCTCTTCTTGTTCTTCTTGTTCTTTTTCTTCTTCTTCTTGTTCTCAGTTAGCGAGTTCTTGAAGGGTCATCGCATTTGGAGCGTTCACGCTTCTCCGACTTGTCTGTTGAGTCGTGTTGGTCTCAAAAACCCTGCAATCCGGTCGCGAGCACAAGCGAAATTCGTCTCGAACTGCCCTTCTCTTTAGCTCTTTTCTCGAGTACGGGGACGAGCATGTTGCGCATGTGAATTGGGTCTCCTCTTTGCGTTGGTAGGAGAAAATTCTTGTCAGTCAAAACGTCAAACTCTGTGCAAATTCTTGGACCTTCCAGGCAGTTTCCTCCTCCTCTCTCTCTCTCTCTCTCTCTCCAAAAACATTTTGTTCCGTAAAAGAGATAACTTTTGTGCCTCTTGAACATAAAATACCGGGCTCAACTAGATCTGCTAATTTCTTGAAGTTGCCAAGTAGGGGCAAGGACTGCAAGCTTCAACCTTGTGATCATCAATGGAGATCTCTGGATCTCTCTGGCTTTTAAGCTTCTTTCAAGTGTCCTAAAGAATTAATAACGCAAAATAACTTCTGCCCCAGTAGTATTCCACCGAGATCGTCACCTATTCGTGCATCAGCAGGCCTATTTGTTCAACAACATTCACAATTTAATATTTCGCGCAGGGGTGGTTGGTAAGGTTTGAAAAATCCGGCCAATCTAGAGAAGATCGATTTTTCCAAGGACTTGACTTTTTGTCTTCCTCTCTTTCTTGAGATTATCCAAAGCCCCTTTATTAGCGGAAGTTGGGTTCTGCTTCTAACGCACAGCGTGTTTCACTTTGGTGGTTTGTGCAGTTGTTTTTCTGAGAGAAGAATTTAGCCATGGCTGACCGTGTGTTGACTCGGAGTCACAGCCTTCGCGAGCGTCTGGATGAGACCCTCTCTGCTCACCGCAACGATATTGTGGCCTTCCTGTCAAGGTAAAAAGCAAGGACGAAAGAAGATAATATTCAAGAATTTTTCGAATAGAACATCTTGATGGGTGGTTTTAGCATGAAGTTGGTGAAAGTGAGCTCCAAAAAAGTTCTGATCCTTTTTGTTTTCGTGTTGAAGGATCGAGGCCAAGGGCAAAGGCATCTTGCAGCGCCACCAAATTTTTGCTGAGTTTGAGGCGATCTCTGAGGAGAGCAGAGCAAAGCTTCTTGATGGGGCTTTTGGTGAAGTGCTCAAATCAACTCAGGTGTTATGAGCTTCTTCATGTCAATGTTTTTCGGTTCTTTACGCTCTTAAAATCTACTCGTCTATAGCTATAATGGTTAAATCTTGCTTTTCTTTAACCTTTTTCGGTTTAAACTCTTAAGGAATTTCTTTTGCTGTAAATTTTGGGATTTAGGAAGCAATAGTGTCGCCCCCATGGGTTGCTCTTGCTGTTCGTCCAAGGCCAGGTGTGTGGGAACACATCCGTGTGAACGTCCATGCGCTTGTTCTTGAGCCATTGGAGGTTACTGAGTATCTGCATTTCAAAGAAGAGCTTGTTGATGGAAGGTCAGAATCTTCGTTGTCTCTTTTTTTTTCCCCCTTTTTTCTTTCTCTTGGTGATCTCAGAACTCTGGATCATGTTTATTTTTTCTGTTCTTGTTCTTGATTGTTTCGGGGGTGTGTTAATGAGAGTTATTTTGTCGTGTTTTTCAGCTTGAATGGTAACTTTGTGCTTGAGCTTGACTTTGAGCCATTCACTGCCTCTTTTCCGCGCCCGACTCTTTCCAAGTCTATTGGCAATGGCGTCGAGTTTCTCAATCGCCATCTCTCCGCTAAGCTCTTCCATGACAAGGAAAGCTTGCACCCTCTGCTTGAATTCCTCCAAGTCCACTGCTACAAGGGGAAGGTACATAAAGCTCTCAAGGATTCTCATTCATTTGACGTCTTAGAAATGAGTTTTCAGTTACATAGTGAGATTTCTTTCACCTCATGTTAGGATATGGTGAACACGGAGGACTAAATGCCAATTTAGAGTACTGAATGTGTTGCACATTGGGAAAACATTTGTGATCTGTTAATGGCTTATGAAAATATTGGGTGATTCTGCAGAACATGATGGTGAATGCCAGAATCCAGAATGTGTTCTCCCTCCAACATGTCCTGAGGAAGGCAGAGGAATATCTGACCATGCTCAAACCTGAGACCCCCTATGCCCAGTTCGAGCACAAGTTCCAGGAGATCGGGCTGGAGCGGGGGTGGGGTGACACGGCTGAGCGCGTCCTCGAGATGATCCAGCTCCTGTTGGATCTCCTTGAGGCTCCTGACCCGTACACTCTCGAGAAGTTCTTGGATAGGATTCCAATGGTCTTCAACGTCGTAATCATGTCTCCCCATGGATACTTTGCTCAGGACAATGTCCTAGGTTATCCAGATACCGGTGGCCAGGTACTCGTTTTAGTTTGAGTTAGCACCTCTTGATTAGAAGGATATACGTATTGTAATTTTCCATTTAGTCTGTTCATTTACAATAATTCTGTCTATTTATAGGTTGTTTACATCCTGGATCAAGTTCGTGCCCTGGAGGAGGAAATGCTTAACCGCATTAAGCATCAAGGACTGGATATTACTCCTCGGATTCTCATTGTAAGATCGACAAGCTTCATGTTGGGACTTTATGTGGTGCTTAGATGAATTATCCAACTTTAGATGCTTATTGTGTCGTGTGGTTTCCTAGATCTCTCGTCTTCTCCCAGATGCGGTTGGAACCACCTGTGGGCAGCGCCTTGAGAAAGTTTTCGGGACCGAGTACTCCCACATTCTTCGTGTCCCCTTCAGGGACGAGAAGGGAGTCGTCCGCAAATGGATTTCCCGGTTCGAGGTGTGGCCCTATTTGGAAAGATACACTGAGGTATTGACCGACTCAATCATATACTTCAGGTCATTTTGCCTGTTGAATTTATTTAGTTTGTGGTTGAGACTAATGGTTTCTGTTTGGTAACTCTCATCAGGATGTCGCGAACGAACTCGCTGGAGAGTTGCAGGGCAAGCCTGATCTGATCATCGGAAACTACAGCGATGGAAACATTGTTGCTTCCTTGTTAGCCCATAAATTAAGTGTTACACAGGTTTGTTCTCTTTTTACATGATCTTACTTGTAGCAACTGATACCAAATTTCTTATAGCCTGATATCGTCTAAGCTTTTGCTTCTTTCTACAGTGTACAATAGCCCATGCCCTTGAGAAGACAAAGTACCCAGAATCAGACATATACTGGAAGAAATTTGAGGAGAAGTACCACTTCTCTTGCCAGTTCACTGCCGATCTCATCGCCATGAACCACACTGACTTCATCATCACCAGCACGTTCCAAGAAATCGCTGGAAGGTGACTAAACTCGATTGTCCTAATACCATTCTATCTCGTGAAATTTCCTCAAGAATCCTAATATTTCCTTATTTCTCAATTCTTTCTTTCAGCAAGGATACAGTAGGGCAGTATGAGAGTCACATGAACTTCACTCTTCCTGGACTCTACCGAGTTGTCCACGGGATCGACGTCTTTGACCCGAAGTTCAACATTGTCTCACCAGGTGCCGACATGAGCATCTATTTCTCCTACACCGACGAGAAGCGGCGGTTGAAATCCTTCCACCCTGAGATTGAAGAACTCCTCTTCAGCAATGTCGAGAACAAGGAACACTTGTGAGTGTTTTGGTCCTTCCTTCATACCCAACTTAAATTCTGTCCTGGCATTTGTTATGGCATTCTTGGGAACCGAAGTTGTCTTTTTGCTAATTAACATTGTCTCTAACGTTAAACAGATGTGTGTTGAAAGATAAGAAGAAGCCGATTATTTTCACCATGGCGAGGCTGGACCGTGTCAAGAATTTGTCAGGGCTTGTTGAGTGGTATGGCAAGAACGCCAAGTTGAGGGAACTGGCCAACTTGGTCGTGGTCGGAGGCGACAGGAGGAAGGATTCGAAGGACTTGGAAGAGCAGGCCGAGATGAAGAAAATGTACGACCTCATCGAAAAGTACAAGCTGAATGGCCAGTTCAGGTGGATTTCCTCCCAGATGAACCGGGTGAGGAATGGAGAGCTCTACCGCTACATCTGCGACACGAAGGGAGTCTTCGTTCAACCGGCTATCTATGAAGCTTTCGGGTTGACCGTGGTCGAGGCCATGACTTGTGGATTGCCGACCTTTGCCACTTGCAATGGTGGGCCGGCTGAGATCATTGTGCATGGTAAATCAGGCTTCCACATTGATCCTTATCATGGTGACCAGGCGGCCGTGCTTCTTGTAGAGTTCTTTGAGAAGTGCAAGGCCGATCCAAGCCACTGGGACATAATCTCAAAGGGTGCCATGCAGAGAATTGAAGAGAAGTAAGCAATAGAAAACATGGGTTTTCAGATTTAAATGATGTTTCATAGTTTCGGGAATACAATTTTTCTAACGTAATTTACTTTTTTTCCTTTTGATAAGGTATACATGGAAAATATACTCTGAGAGACTGTTGAACCTGACTGCTGTGTATGGCTTCTGGAAGCATGTGTCTAACCTTGATCGGCGTGAGAGCCGCCGCTACCTCGAAATGTTCTACGCCCTCAAGTATCGCCCACTGGTAAGTTCCTGCTTGAACCTGATCTGATTCCGCATTCTTCATTTATTTGGTGCCTTGTTCCTTGGCATACAGAGTATGTTCTTCGCAATTAACTCATGCTTGTGTTCTTGCTCTTTCTTGCAGGCTCAGTCTGTTCCTCCCGCTGTTGAGTAAACAAAGAGACAGATTGTTATCGGAACATGGAAGCATTGCACTTTTGGAGTTTTCAAGGAATAAACATTGGAAATTGTTTGACCTCTTTCATTTCCTTTTTTTTGGTCCTTTTTCTCTTCTTTGTTTTCATTCTGAGGATGTGTGCATTTCGGGTTTTGAACCCCCAGCAATTCAGTAAATGGTTCATTTTGTTTTCACCTTGTCAATCCCTCCATGTGCATCCTTTGTTTTTCACCTACCGCGGTCTCTGTCCAGCGTGATCTGGTGATCCGATCATTCAAGAGAGTCACATATACCTAACAAACCAACTCGATAGAAACACTAGGCGACATGCAAGCTGATATGGATCGGTCCCCAGAACTTAAAACTATGCTTCAAGCAACAAAATACGAGACAGCTAGATTGTACGATAAATGGCACACATGCTTGTCCTACCTTCATGTGACTGGGTCTCTAATCCTTCATGAAATTAGGTAAAAGACAGGCACAAATGTCGGCAACTGTGCAACCAAAATGTGAGAGTCAGACAGCCTTGTGCTTTGGTTGCTTTCTCATGACCCAGGCCACTAGGCCAGCACATGCTGATGACTGATACCCGCATTAAAAGGCACATCATCACAACGATCATAGTTACTCTCCAAAACTCCTCACCATCGGTTTCGCCAAACTCGTAACAACTCTCATGTCCAAGAATGCAGGAGACGCACAATTCAAGCAAATTGGTCAGGTCTCAAGTCTTCTTGACACAGAATGGTCACTAGTTCAAAACCCGCACGGTTTAGACGGATCAAGTATGCAGGGTTGGTTGGTGCAGTTTAAATTCTACCTCGAAACCAGCCGAGGAGTTTCAAATCAAGATCACAGTTCTATATCTGATTACTTTAGTACTTGGTACAGGCATTTTTGAACGTTTCAGACCATTATTGACCTTGCTCTGCCTGTCCCAATCCAACCCAAGTCACTTGATGGACAGGGACAAGCAGTGTTTCTTTTTATTAATCCTTTGTTTGCCCTGATTCCAATAGCGTTCCCATATATAGTAGAAGACTAAGAGAAGGGGTCAAACTGGCACCTATAGAAATTGGAATGAATGGTGGTTAGAGCTCTGCCTCTGAGTTGAGCTCGTGGGAAGTAAAAAGAAAATCGTTGGTTGTGGAAAGGAGGATGTCAGCTGTAATTCTGATGTACTGTGCTTGTGTACTTCTTCTTCTGCTGCTAAATGTCCTCTATTTCCTTCTCATCATTCATTTAATTTGTGAGCCCACTTTAGACATTATCTGATTTTTCCAACGTGTCTCCAGCCATGTAATCCTTCATTTTTCTGACATCTTCAGAAAGATTGGACCTACTTGTGCTGTGACTATAGCAGTGAGTTATTAGATTGATTTGGACGTAAGAAATTTCCAATCTGTCATGTGTTTCATATTCCACAACCATGTGCATGCAACTGTTATATCTATTGATTGCCCTATAGGGTCGTTAATTCACCGATATAGCAGATTCTCTTGTCATGCGATTGCTTTCTTCTGCCAAACACGCTGTAAGAGAAGCCAAAGACAATTGTCGAAACGCAGTCCCTGTAATTAGTCATGGCCACGGTTCGAAACCGGCCGGTTCCGGTTCGTGGCCATGTGTGAACCGGAACCGGCGGTTCCGGTTCGTAATTTAAAAATTTTAAAAATAAATTATGAAATAAAAAAATAATGAATTATAAAATTATGAAATAAATTAGAACTAAGAACCGGACCGGTAAATCATGAAACTGGACCATTGGCCCGATCCGGTTCTAGGCGGTCCAAAGGAACCCTTTCTCTTAACTAGCAAAGGATCGTAGTTACAAAAGGCATACAACTTCACATGCTCATGATTTGGCTTGGGTTTTATACACAACCCCTTTGATGGTCTCTTCATTCCTATTCGATGTGAGACTCTTGGCATTTGCATGAAGACAAGCCAAGAGTCTCACATTGAAGGTGTTCAAGGCAAGCCGAGAGTCCCACATCGAATGAGAATGAAGAGACCATCAAAGGGGTTGTGTATAAAAGCCAAGCCAAGTCTTGTAATTAGAGTTTAATACACCCATGCGAAGCATTGTAATTAGAGATCAATGCACTTACAATGCATGTCAATTAGGTGCTGCATGAAAACCATTCTGGTTCTGTCAAGAACTGGTTTTTTGTTCCCAGAATCAGTTTTGGACCAGAAACTCGTTTGGTAACGCAATTTCATTTTTCTATTTCCGGGACAAGTTTGCTTCCAAAACTGATTCTGAAGCCAGAAATGAGAACAAAAAAAAAGTTGATTTTTCATTTCTGGAACAAAAGTGAGAACCATTTTTGAGGAATTCATTTTCTTCAACACACATATTCATATGAAAGTCACGATCTTTGAGGTGAGAAAAAAAAGCAAAAAATCAAAAATTTCAAAACTTAACAAAATGGTTTAGAATCTGTGGCTATCCACTTTCAGTGAAATTTAAATTTTTTTAGGTACCGAAAAAAATAAATAAAAATAAAAAATTTCAAAATTTCACAAAATGGCTTAGAAAACCTATGGCCACCCACTTTAAGCAAAATTTAATTTTTTTAGTTGCCAAAAAAAAATAAAAAATTCTAAAATTTAAAAACTTCACAGAATATCTTAGAATACCTGTGCCACCCAATTTGAGCGAAATTTTATTTTTTTAGGTGCCGAAAAAAATAAAAAAAAGCAAAAAATCAAAAATTTCAAAACTTCACAGAATGGCTTAGAATACTTGTGGCCATCCACTTTGAGTGAAATTTAAATTTTTTTAGGTGCCGAAAAAAATAAAAAAATAAAAAAATTCAAAACTTCACAGAATAGCTTAAAATACCTGTGGCCACCCACTTTGAGTGAAATTTAAATTTTTTTATATGCCAAAAAAAATAAAAATAAGCAAAAAAGTAAAAATTTCAAAACTTTACAGAATGGCTTAAAATACCTGTAGCCACCCACTTTGAGCGAAATTTTATTTTTTTAGGTGCCGAAAAAAATAAAAAAAAAAGAAAAAAAGAAAAAATTTCAAAACTTCACAAAATGGCTTAGAATACCTGTGGCTATCCACTTTAAGCGAAATTTAAATTTTTTTAGGTGCCGAAAAAAATAAAAAAAATAAAAAATAAAAAACTTCACATAATTGCTTAGAATACCCGTGGCCACCCACTTTGAGTGAAATTTAATTTTTTTTTAGGTGTCGAAAAAAAAATAAAAATAAGCAAAAAAGAAAAATTTTCAAAACTTCACAGAGTGGTTTAGAATACATGTGACCATCCACTTTGAGTGAAATTTAATTTTCTTTAGGAACAAAAAAAATAAAAAAAAAATAAAAAATACCATTTGGGCATCTAAAAAAAATTAAATTTTACTCAAAGTGGGTGGCTAGAGGTATTGTAAGTCATTCTGTGAAGTTTTGAAATTTTTGATTTTTTATGTTTTTTTTCACCTAAAAAAATTTAAATTTCACTCAAAGTGGATGGCCATATGTATTCTAAGTCATTCTGTGAAGTTTTGAAATTTTTGATTTTTTGCTTTTTTTTTCACCTCCAAAAATTAAAATTTCACTCAAAGTGGGTGGCCACAGGTATTCTAAGCCATTCTGTAAAGTTTTGAAATTTTTGAGTTTTTGAATTTTTTTGGGCACATCAAAAAATTTAAATTTCACTCAAAGTGGGTGGCCACATGTATTCTAAACTATTCTGTGAAGTTTTGAAATTTTTAATTTTTTGATTTTTTTTGGGCACCTAAAAAAATTTAAATTTCACTAAAAGTGGGTGGCCACAGGTATTCTAAGCAATTCTGTGAAGTTTTGAAATTTTTGATTTCTTGATTTTTTTTGAAAAAATTCAACAAATTTCCTATTTTCCCGAAATCTAAATTTTTTTATTTTCTCGACATTTTGATGATTTTTTCTGGAATTTTTCAATTTTTTGGGATTTTCTGAATTTTTTTAAAGATTTTTATAAAATTTTCAGATTTTTTTTATTATTTTTATTCCATTTCTAAAAAAATGGATTTTTGTTCCTGGAAATAGAATTTTCTGTTGTTTATCAAACAGGTTTTTATTTCAGGAAATAGAAATTTTGTGCTGTTATCAAACGGGTTTCTGTTCTAGAAATAGAAATTTTTTGTCATTATCAAACGGATTTTTTTTCTCAGAAACTCATCCAGGAACCGGAAATAGAATTCAGGAACTCATTCCGGAACAGAATGGTTATCATTCGCTACCTTAGAGTTCAAATTGTTTTATAAAAAAAAATTAAATAATGAATTTTTTTTAAAATTTCATTATTATTATTTTTTTAAAAATAATTGGAACCGGAACTGGAACTGGCGGTTCCGGGCCGGTTCCAAAATTGTTGGAACCGGAACCGGGCCCGTAGGCCACGGGCCGGGCCCGGGTTTGACCGGGCCGGTTCCGGGCCAAAACCGGCCCGTGGCCATGACTACCTGTAATGAGGTCGTTTCATACAGCATGAAAAGAGCTGGTATGGCTTTCCTAATGTGTTCGCCTATTCAGCAAATAACTCGCAATTCAACGGTTTTGAAGTGTTTTCAACTGTTGGGAAAATGTTCCACCCTGGTTCAAAGTGCCTCAAGTTCGAAACAGATTTTACTAAAACTCACAGATGCAACTATTCCATATAGAACTGCAACGTGGCACAATTGCAGTACAGCGATAGCTATACCGGCCGGCTAAAAAAAAGCGACCTTTCAAGTTCAGCCTTAACTACATGGACCTTAGGTAAGGATCCATGGACCACTCTTCATCAATGAATTGTTCTGGGTGGGTGGCCTAAGACCAGAAAAAAGAAAAAAAACAAAAGAGACAGCTTGATCTTGAGAGGAAGGCCATTCACAATTTAAATCTGCTTATCACGTCCAGGGTGGGTAACCTGTCATTTATCATCACCTGAAATGTCATCTCAATGGAAGAGACAATGCCCATCTTTTCTTTATCAAAGATTGCAAAGTTCAGCTAGTGATGTTACTCAATGAAGAAGCAAACAGGGTTTCGGATTTTAAGTGCAGAAGGGAGTCATTTCTTGCGCTGAAAGCCCATTCCAAATGACATGTTGGATTAGCCTCTCCTGGCCAAAAGAACAGCAGCTATGGCTGGCTAGAATTGACAAAAACTCAAAAGATGAGGGCCTTTCTGTGGTAAATTTGCAAAAGGTGAGCACTCTTTTGTGAAAACCGATCGAAAGTTCCAAACATTTTCAGGAGATCAGCCCCATTTGATTATGGAAAGGTTTTCCCGCTTGAGAACGCAGTTTCCTTTTTTCAACCTTTTCTCTCCCCTGAAAACTTTTGTCTTTGAAAACGGTTCGGAATTGGTGAAATATTGAAAATCGCTGGAGTATTAGATTGGCTCCGTTTATTTCACTAAAAATGAATAATTTATGAAATATTTTCCTCTAAAAAAACTATCGCTTACAAAAATAATTGAACGAACAACATCTTCATCGTCCTTGAACATATTTAGACATAAATTATTATCGATGATTGGCTAATTATTTTAAGTGATATAAGCGATCATTTTTAGGAAGATATTTTCCAATTCATTCATTTTTTGCAAAACGAAAAGAATTTAGACTTTGTTTTCAACTTTGTCAATATGAAAAAGAGAAAAAGGAGGAAAAGGACTTGATGGGCTTGGTTTCAGGCTTAACCACGGTCTATTCTCAATAGCAACTAGAGCCCACAAATTTCTGACCCAAAAGTTCTCCTCTCTCTCTCCCTTTATTGAAAATCTTTTCTAATTTCATATAAAATCATCTATTCGCTCTTAATTTTAACCATTATTATCGCTTAAGAAAATGGACCAATGTAAAATGTGTCGTTATTAATAACATTTTAAGCCTAGGCATTTCAGCCGATGGAGTTTTCCTTACCTCATTTTTCATAAATGATATAAACGATCATAATTAAGAATTTTTCATAAAACAACCAGAGTGATTTACAAAATAATATCAACGTGGGGTCATCCCAGGTTAGTCTACTCTTTCACATGAGCCCCATCATCTTTGGATATTAATAATTTTACATGGGAGCACTGAAAAATAGGCATCGTACATGCATTTGCTGCCAACAAAATTATTTGATAAAAATAAGACATACAAGTCGATCTACTCCACGCTAAGCTACTAAGCTACGGCGCGACACGTGTCGAGTACCCAATGAGTTGGAAAAAGGCCCAAAAAAACAGGACAAATCAAAAAATTAATGTGTCCCTTAATCACATGGGCATGTTCCCCAGTAGCTGCTAATAAGACATCAATTAATTAATAATAACATATGTTAAGCAATCTTTGCTCTGAAATATATTTGGCGCTGGCCATATGATGATGGCCAGACAAAACCTATGACACTCGTTTTCCCTTGGGAACCGTAAACATCGTGTCAAAGAGATTCCCGTTCTTGATTTCTTTCCTTTAATTGATTTACTAATTAGATATAATTAGATGCTATGTATTAAAGAGAGGGTGGTGTAGATAAGTGCAACATGGTATGACGCGGTCTCGCACATGTGCATCGCTTTCGCGGGTCTCTATTGAGCCGGAGCTCGTAGCGATCTTTCGAATTTTACTCGGTCCCACATGGTTTAGGCTTGTTAATCCGGCCGACGTATTGACTATTTTAAGCTTCGCAAAAGCACGGCTGAGCAGGCCCTTTTGCTCCGAAACATTTATTTCTCGCCAAGACCTTCTCAACAATATCAGAGGTGGCGATTAGAGTTCGTGCGCGCATTATGCGCATGCTAGCGCTGGTTTTGCTTGTTTTTGCGATGGCTATCTCGAACTCCTAGCTTCTTCAAAACAACTCGAGATCGAAATCCTCTAATTTTACAATGCTATATCAATGACAGAAAAACCGAAGGGATAGTGAAATAAATGGTCTCCCGATTTTTGTCAAATGTGCAATGTGGTTCTTAAACTCTAAATTTGTTCAATGTGGTCCTTACCCTAATGTGTAATGTGGTTCATGAACTTATAATTTATTTAATGTGATTCATGGACTTTTGGTATATATTCAATGAAATTTATGAACTATATGAAAATATTCAATGCTGTCCATGATTAAATCATGGACATCATTGAACATTTTCAAGAAGCTAGGAGTTCAGGGATCACATTATATATAATATTGAACAAATTAAAAGTTATGGATTATATTGTATATTGGATCAAAGTTTATGAATCATTTTGGTCATATTCCCAAATTTGAATGATACGAAACAATTTCATGTGTTTTCTTCTCTTTTGAATATAATTCTGATGTATTATTTATGTTATGTGGCCCCACTACCTCACCCACTAAATTCTGTAACCTCCAGCAATCATCATCTTCATCATCATCCTCAACTTCCTCCTATAAAATGGGAACCTTCTCTCCATTTTCTCAGCACCCAATCTCTCTCTCTCTCTCTCTCTCTCTCTCTCTCTCTCTCTCTAAAACAGCCATGGGAAGAGGTGGCAACAAGCTTACCAAACTCAAGTCTGTCCTTAAGAAGCTCAACTCCTTCGGCCACCACAAGAAGCACCGCACCATTAGGCCAACGCCCTCATTCACTTCATCATCCTCGTCAAACAATTCGGAGGACATCGATGACTCATCCTCCTCCACCACCGACCTCCGCCCTGTCTACGTTGGCCAATCCCGGCGGCGGTACCTCGTGAGCTCCGCCGTCGTCCGCCACCCCCTGTTCTGCGAGCTCGCCGCTCGTTCCGGCAACGGTGCGCCCTTGTCCGACGACGACGCCAACTCCTCGTCCCTCAGCATCGCGTGCGAGGTGGTCTTGTTTGAGCACTTGCTGTGGATGCTCGAGAACGCCGAGTCCCGGCCCGAGTCGCTGGATGAGCTGGTCGAGTTCTATGCTTGCTGAGGGAGACGAGGATGCATGGCGATTGTAAAGGATCATATTCGATGTGGTCAAAGAGATTGGATGGCCATCTATAATTTGTAATTGCTTGTTCTATTCTTTTCTAATGTTCATGACGATGATTAGAGCGCAAAGCCATGTAAAGATAGAGGAGAGAGAGAGAGAGAGGCCTCACGGCGGAGCGGACGTCGCTCTTGTATTGTTCAAATATAAGCTATGCATTTGGATTTTCATGAGCTAAAAGCCTCTCGTTTGTGCGTTTTCCCCCCTCGTTCTATCTCATCTTTCGCGAGTAAACACTGCTTCGATGCCGTCTTTCTAAACACACACACACACACACACTAGTGTCGAGGCACACAGGCTACGTGCGTGCGTGATCATAAGTAGGTTACATATGAAGACCGGGTGATTATTTGATGGAGCGAACATGCAGCAGATGATCGTAAAAAGTATTATAGCATTTAACTAACACCCTTTCCGGCACGCAAGACAAGACTATTAAGGCGAGGTGGAATAAGAATTGTCTGCAAAATAGTAGATAAAAAAAAACGGGATCTCAAGAAATTGACACGATACTTAAGTTTTTAGCTTGACTAAATTCCGCTAATGTTATCTCTTACCCAAGTCCTTAAGGTTACAAACTTAAGGTGGGCTTCTCCATCAAAGGAAAAACATGCTAAGTGGAGGAAAGAGACGCACATGTAATTCTATCTGTTTAAGTTTTGTTTTCATGTTTTTTCTTAAATCCTTCAACAATATTTCAGTTGAGCAACTCTCCAACGTGCACTACCTAGATAAAAGAGCGGGGCCGATATCCGATCGACCCACGCATAGTCTCGTTTGCATTTTGATAACGTGAGAAATCAAATTATACCACGAAGCTAATCAGCACCGTCGTTTCGTCGATCGACTTATTTTTTGCAGGTATGAATTAGAATTAGATGCAAGTCGTGAATCGAACAGAGGTCGAGATAAGTTAAAAGTTTACAAGATCAAGTAATTGGTATCCACACGAGGTTATCAATCTTGCAACTTAGCCCTAACCCGGTGGGAAAGCGAAGGGTTTTTGTTCGAACCCTTGGCGGCCGACGAAAACGACGCGACCAAAACAAGAGGACAGCCGCTCTTCGCGGCGGTTCCTCATTTAAGAACCACCCGCCACTAATCGCCTGCCACGTCAGCTTTGTCTCTTTTATCGTGTGGGGACGAACCTACTGACGACGAAGGGAGGAAGTGCTTTGGCTCCGAGAGAACGGTCCACGTGGCGTCGGATCACGAGATCGGATCCTTTCCGGGCTTATGGTGGGCCCCCCCCCCCTCCCCCTCCCCCTCTTCGCTAGGCCCCATGTTACCCCTGCTGTATAATCCAAATTTGGATTTTGGCTTTGCAATAAATTAGATATGCCCCCTCATGGAAGAACAGTGTCATGTACTATGTTCCCCCAAGGTGATGATCACTTCTTGTGTGTCCTCGTGCATCTTAATTATCATAATTCACTATAAATCAAATCATGTGATGGTCGTTGATAAGGCTACAAAGAACTTTCGGCTCGTTGCTACGTGTGTTATTGCAAAGTCGCGATCGCCCAGAATCCCGATGGTTTCCAGTAGTGATGAAATGATTGGTTAATGGATAGACGGATGGTCGAAAACATCAAGAAATTTGCACGAACGTTTATTGGGTCACAACATGCGGCTTACATTGTTCATGCCGTGCTTGCTTGATACTGAAATTAAACATGAGCTTTTTAAGGTAGATGTTGGAAGTGCGTAGAGAGAGAAAAAAATTTAGAGAGTATATTTCGAAGGGTTAATAGCACGAAAAACCCTAAACTGATATACTTGTGACACATTTACCCCAAACTATTTTTTTGACCATAAAAAACTCCAAACTGGTACACCTGTGACAATTTTACTCCAAACATACCACAAAAAACCCTAAACTGGTACACATGTGACAATTTTACCCCGAACTAATTTTTAATATTATTTTTTTGAAATTTTTTTGAAATTTTTTTTTTCTTTTCTTTTCCTTCACCTTCAACCTCTGGCCGGTCGCCGGTCCGGCGACCGGCCAGAGGCGGAAGCCGGCGAGGGCCGCCCTCGCCGGTATCGGGTGAGGGCCGTCCTCGCCTGCCCAGGGCAAGGGCGACCGTCACCCGACTCGGGTGAGGCGGCCCTCGCCGACGCAGCGAGGGTCGCCCGCCGATCCGGCGTTGGGCGAGGGCCGCCCGACGCCGGCGAGGGCGAGGGCGACCGCGCGTTAGGCGAGGGCCGCCCTCACCCGAGCCGGGCAAGGGTCGCCCTTGCCCCGGGCGGCGAGGACGGCCCTCGCCCGACGCCGGCGAGGGCGGCCCTCGCCGGCTTCCACCTCTGGCCGGTCGCCGGACCAGCGACCGGCCAAGGTTTGAAGATGAAAAAAAAACGAAAAGAAAAGAATAAAAAAAATAAAAAAATTTGAAAAAAATAAAAAAATAATATTAAAATTTTAATTCATGGTAAAATTGTCACATATGTACCAGTTTAGGATTTTTTGTGGTAAGTTTAGGGTAAAATTGTCACAGGTGTACCAGTTTGGGGTTTTTTATGGTCAAAAAAATAGTTCAGGATAAAATTGTCACAGGTGTACCAGTTTGGGGTTTTTTATGGTCAAAAAAATAGTTTGGGGTAAATGTGTCACAAGTGTACCAGTTTAGGGTTTTTCGTGGTATTAACCCTATTTCGAAAGCTTTTCATAAACGAATACGAGCATTACCATTGGAAAGCTAATATAATCTAATCCAATTTAAGTTAGAACTTTAGACAAAATCTTATTTGCTTGTAAATGATATTTGTGTGCTGTTGGTCTAGTGTATTGTCAGTGCCTTTATTTCTTGTATTCTTATGAACCATTTCTTTCTGATGGTTCGCAACTGCTTTCGATTCCTTAGCCTCGATTGCCACTCGATCAATAATTTTTTCATAGCCAATCCTTAACTTTTGTACGTGATTCAAGTCAATCGCTTAGGCATGTAAAATATTAAGGACATCGCGAAGACAATATGGAGTCCTCTCTCTCTCTCTCGATCGATCGACAGTCCAAGCTTAGGTGAAGCGTTGTCTTCTCCGTCGACTCTCTCATGCCGGCGACCCGCTTTAGAGCCATGACTCTAGCGCCAAAGAGAAGCCCCAAGCACCTCAAATTACGCAAGTCCTCGCTTCACCCAGGTGATATATTTCTCTAATCTTTTCATAATTTCGATAAGGCGTAATTGAAGGAGTTTTGTCATTTTGAATCATTGGAGGAAGCTCATCGATGAGAAATTAAGAGTTTAGCTTAGGCTGATTGATCCGATCATAATCCAGCAAACTTATGCAAATTTTTTGTCTCTTTTCTCTTTATCTTATCCTGTTGATTTATTGTTTTTTTTTTTTCCAATTTAAGATACTATGGTGGATCTCCGCACTTTTTCTTATGTTTTTTCTTCCTCTGAGTTAATTGAGAAAAAGGTTTAATTTAGATTGGCGGCTATTAAGTAGACCTGTTACAATGGGTCTTACCCCATATATGGCCCATTTAAAAAATAAATGTGTCATATATGGGTTACTTCAATTTTAAAGAGTCTACCTTAAATGGGTTTTAAAATTTAAAGCGTAAAATAAATGGGTTTAAATGGGTTGAGTTTAGAACCCATTTCCAACCCACTAAGCTTACACTCTCTCTCTCTCCATCTTCAGCCTTATAAAAATATATATTTTAAGAAAATCGAAATTATTATATTTCCTTTTCCTTTTTTTCTCTTTTTCTTTTTTTTTTTTCGTGTTTTTCTTTTCTTTCTTTTTCTTTTTCTTTTTCTTTTTCCTTCTTCCTCGGCCGGTGGCCAACCATGGCGACGGTCCTCACCGACGTTTGGTGCTGGCAAGGCTCGCGCTCACCGATCTAGCGCTAGCAAGACTCGAGCTCACCTATGATTGATTGCTAGCTGTCGCCATGTCCGATGACTGACTAAAGAAGAAGGAAAAACAAAAGGAAAGAAAGAAAAAAGAAAAGAAAAAAAAAGAAAAATACTTAAAAATTAGTTTTCTTTTAAAAATAAAAATAAAATTATTAAAAGGAGTGCACGGAGGAAAATTAAATTATATTTTTCATACCAAATGGAGAAAAATGTTTTCTAGTTCATTTGCAAGTTTCAGCCAAACACTGAAAAATATTGTCATTTTCCTGGAAAATGATTCCTAGAAAACATTTGCCGTGAAATAAATGGAGCCTCAATTTAATATATATATATATATATATATATATATATATATATATATATATATATATATATATATGAATTGTCAACTAGATTTGTATTGCGTGGAAGTGTTTTAACAATATAATTTTTTTTAAAATCATAAGAAACGGGTTTTTTTAGATTTAGTTAAATATGAAAGTATTTTAGCAATATGGGTTGGATCGGGTATAGTTTGGGTATGGGTCGTGTCGGGAAACTTACGTTACGAATACAATGGGTCATAAACAATTAAATTGGTCAATTTGGGTCGGACCATTTATGACCCAACCTAAACCCGACCTGACCCACCCATTGGACAAATCTAAGGGAGTATATGACATCCATTTTACTGCATACTTATACACATCGGTTGTAATTACTGTAGGAGGGTTGGTTTTTCTGCTGGTATTTTTCTCATTTATAAGTTTCTAATAAGAACACTCCTTTTCAGTGAAAATGAATGCGGTTTACTTTTAATTTTTTTTTGGTCGAAAGTTTACTTGTAATTGAAGTACAATAAATATGGCAATTCAGTGTGCTACAATGTTCATATTATGCTAAAGAAAGAGCAGGGTGAAATGGACGAATCTCTAGGCTATGCACAAGATTGAAAAGAAAAGGAGGGTGAACGTGAATGAAATCAAATTGAAAGCCATAAAAAGCGAATAATCACTTAGAAGCATAAATACATAAAAGTAAAATGATGCTCTAAGGAGAGTTCACCGCAAGTCGACACGTGGTGCTTCTGAAGAGCAACACGTGTCCCCCCCATTTAATTTCGTAATCAAATGGAGTATCTCCTTATATACTAATTTTGTAAAGAAAATATTGAAGTAAAATCCGACATTTTTTCAAGAGTGTTCTTCCTATGACCTATATAAAGTGATGCTTTTTTATTTGGTCATGAGAATATATATAGGCTGCTTCACTTTTATATTTGGACCTTTTTATCTTAGTTTATTTTATTTATTTTTTCCAATTGCGAAAGATATTAAGTGCACAATTATATTTATTTTGTGAGTTTTTCGAGTAAAACATGCTAAACTATTAAAATAACACGATATTAAATTTTCTTGCGAGCATTGACATACGTTTTGACACTCCTCAATATGCATCCAAACTTTTTTTTTTTACTGCATCGTGACTGTATATGATCTTATTGTCGTCAACATATTTGATAAATTGTATAAATAGCACGAATTTTGTAAAAGGCAAAAAATAAATAGCAAAGGAAAAGAAAGGATAAAGAAAATCAAATGAAAATGAAGAACAAGTAAAAGAAAAAGAGCGAAAATGGGATTGTTAAGTAGACATGACCGACCAACAATAACAAAACATAAAAAAAGGAACATTCCTGGGACGATGCACATGAAACTAGCCGTCTTCAGGAATCTGAGCTACTTCTATTTGAAAACAAGATACTGTCTGCTTAAGATATAGGTTATCTATCTGTCGGACAGTACAAATCACCCAATTTGCGTACAGGGATCAGTTATCACAGAAAAAGCACATGGAAAACCGCTTAGTCCATGTTCCACCTTTCGTATCGGACCAATTCAGCAGAGAGATCTCGAAGCAACATAAACATGGTCCGTAACGGAAAATGACATGCCTTGCACCGAATAGCAAATGCCGTCTGCCACAGTTGTGTGTGGAGGTGTAACTGGAAAAGAAATGTGACCATATGTAAAGATGCTTCAATCTCATATACAAGGTGTCAGTTGATTTCATCGTTCTTGGTGATTGTGCTCAATTTGACATTAGGAAAAGGTCACATGCAAGTACCAGAGAACATACACAGATGCAAAAGATCTGTTATGCCTCTACCATTGAACTTGGCCAACACACCTTAAAAGCTAAAACTAAAGAGTTCCTACAGTTCCTCATTTCAGAAAAGGATTTGTTACAAAGGAAAAACAAAGATGTCTGTGTATGAGAGACCTTGCTCGGCACCAGAGTCAGTCCTAGGATCTGGGCAATCTACCGCCGGCGCCGTCGTTACTCTTCAGTAGTTTCTGAATTTTCAGCTGCATAACCAATAAGGAACCTCGAGTTCAGTAAAGCCATCTATAAAGATGCATTGAATGACACAGCAGCGCAATGTCGAGAAAACATAAGGAAGTGCAGCAGAAAAGGATGCCTGCGAGTCGTTTCATGCCACACTAAAGCTATAGCTCCATTGGGCAGAACCAAACTCTTCGATAATCAATTTCATGTCAAAAAGCTCAGCATGCTTTGTGGCTTGGTCAACGTGGTTCTAGTATTACATATCATCAGGATTATTCAATCAAAGATTGTTCAGCAAGTGAAATTGTGACAAGCAAAAATTACCAGAGCTTTCATCAGGTTCAGGTTCTGCATTTTGATGATTCTCCATGCACTTCAGTAGAAACTTGAAGGTCTCGATTTCGCATGGGATTGTGAGCCCGCCACTGTGATCAAACCCGAATTCCTCCTCGACCTTTTCCAGCAACACCTTGAAAAGCGGATGACTAAGATAGCTAGTAGGAATGATGAATCTCCGAAGCTCCTGTCCAACGTAAACTGCCAAATACCCCTTTGGAACATCTGCTGGTGGTTCAGGGCTAGGGCAGCTCTCTTCATCCGAGTCACAACACTGCAAATTTGCTATCCTCTTATTAACCAAAGGTGACATGTTCCCGAGGCCTTCTTCAGGATCGTGGTTTTCTGCCTTTGAGCTTAGCGTGACAGACTGCCACTTTTGGAGGAGTTCCTTAAGTCTGACAATCTGCTTGATTCCAGTCAACTTGCCGCCACTGTTATCATCCATCACGGAACCTCTAAAGCAGCAGCAAAAGAAAAATCTCGGAATATATTCACAGTGTCCACCTCCAGATCAGTAATCTCATAGCATCTTCTCGCACTGCACAATTATTTAATATAAGTGAAAATGAAGTTTCTGAAAGGAAATCATTCATAATCCTCCATCACAAACAGAAAATTGTTGTCCATATCATCTGGCAAAAGTAAAATTACATTTTGAGTTATTCTCTGGAATTAGATACAGCAATTAGGCACAACAAATGAGCACACAATAAGAACCACATAAAGTACTTGCTAGAAAGGATTTTGACATAGTTTCCTGAAAAGCTTTTCACTTTTCCCAGTCGCCCTATAGCGGAAATGTCTACCAACAATAGATCTGAAGAAGGCCCTAAGAACTAATCCACCTGCCCTAAACCATTTGAGAATCACCTTCCGAGCCACCCATAAATCATGTGTCTACTTATTAGAGAAAGTTCGAGGTTCAGTCTAGTCTTCTGTTTCCTTCTCGCCTTACAGTAAGATCCCCTCTCATCTAACAAGTAGCAATACATCTCTCTTTCTCTGATGATCGATTCCATAAAATTGACCCTGGTTTTCACCAAGGCTTGAGGATGAAGTCAACTAGAATGGATCATGTGGCCGAGAAAAACCCGCGTGGAGGATGAATTCGACAAAAACCAGAGCTATCAATGTCAAGACCTCAAAACTCTGAAAACAGGAAAGAAGAAAAGAAAAACAAAAATCTACCGAATTCGAAACAAGTTGTTCCTCCGCTCCGCATGTACCACCACTTTCAGATCTAATGCTTCATCCCCGCTTTTGATCAAGCACACCATGCCCAAATCGTCATATTCGTCAAGACAGTCATCGAGCTAACACCCCGAAAAGGGCGGCATTACATCGGAGAAAACGTCCCTTCCCCCATCCATCGAATCGCTCAAAAATGTCAGCTTTAACCGTCCGAAACGCATCAATCATAACTACGAATGCACCTTTCACCACACACGCGCCCCACAAACCAACAAGATTCTTTCACAAGCTGAGACACCCCGCGTCCGGAAATCAACGCCCCCATTTCCTCGCCTCGCGAAACGCACGCATCGATTAAGGAATCAAACCCCGAGAAAAGCCGCGAAAAACTAAACGGGACCCATCAAAGATCAAACCCAGAAGCGCTCGCCACGACGAAAACCAATCATCGCATCAACTCCCCCCGCCCACCCACAAGAACCGAATCAAGAAAACGAAAAGAAAGAAGGACCCAGAACGCGGCGGGGCGGGAAACGAAGTACCTGGGACAGGAGGCGAGGGAGAGAGATATCACGCGAGGAGAAGCCGGAGCAACGCCGCCATGCCGGAGCCTCGGGAGCTGGAATCTCCTCCTTCTTCCCCTCCCCAAGAAGCTCTCTCTCTCTCTCTCTCTACCCACCACCCACCCCAAAACACACGAAACAACGGACGGAGAGACAGCGAACGGACGGACGGATTGCGGCTCGAATCCCGAAGCGAAATTGGCGAAGGGAATGTCGGAGGCCCCGGGATTTATACGGCGGATCGGGAATCGCAGAGATTTTTGCGCGCACACAGAGAGAGAGAGAGAGAGAGAGAGAGAGAAGAGAGAGAAGGAGCTGTTTGCTCTGTCCTTTTTCGTATTTCGTTGTTGGTTTTTTTTTTTTTTTGGGTTGCTGTTCTTTGTGCGCCAAAGAAGGCAACGGCTTTCGATGTTTGGGTTTCGGGTGCGCGAAGGAGATGGGGAAAAGGATTTTCCCATATATAATAAATAAGGAAATAAATCTGATTTTTCCTCTTTTGGGGGGGAAATAAATCTGATTAATTAGGAGTGGGTTTAAGACATTCCCGTGCTGGCGTGTAGGTTTAATTAATAGGAGCGATTCTCTAGATACATTGTATCTGGTTAAGTAACCGGAAAAGAAATCTCAAAGGCTGCTTTTGCGTCCGGTGGTAACTGGGATAAGGAGTCGGGAGATAGGATGAAATTTTATCTCGTCTCTTGTTTGGTTCTCGCCCAAGATAGGATGGAGTTAGGTAGGGATAAAGATGAACGGGATTTCTTATGTCCATGGCATAAATAGGCTATTTTTTTCGAATAACAAACTTCTTAAATTAAAATGATTAAATATAATGTAATATTTGGATTCTAATATAAAAAAGAAAAATTCAAAAAAAATCATGGTAAATTTTAATTTTTCATTTATTCATATTTTTATTTATATATTTGAATTTCTTTCCATTCTATAATATACATTTTGTATATATCTATTTAGTATCTGTATTTATTACATATTTTAGGTATATTAGTATAATTTATTATTTAATAAAATTTTTACTAAGGAACGATAGAAGGGAGTAAAAAGAAATAAAAAAGGAAAATAAGTAAATAAAAATGAACAAGAAGAATCCCGATTTTAAATAATTTGAATGAACAAATTCAAACTTGAAAGGGATGTTTTCAATTCACTCCGTGTCCTTATTCTCTGTATCTCTCGTTCATGTTGAAATTTTACGACTCCTCCATAATTCTCTGTTCACATCAAAGCTCCATAAAAACAACGAGAGAGTCGAAACCCCTTCTCCTCCGTAGCTTTTTAATTCGTGTCAAAAGTCTACGAAAGTAGCAAAAGAGTCGAAACTCCTCTTTTCTGTAACTCTGTAGTTCATGTTGAAGTTTCATGAAAGAGGCGAGAGACTCAAAGCACTATATTTTTTAAAACCACGCAGGTGAATAATCATGTTTTCTTTCTTTTACTAGATTTGGTGTTCACTAGTTGATTTACTTTTGTCGATATTGCTATAATTCATTTACATTTTTTGTCATTGTTGAACCCGTGGCTTTGGAATGCTGTAATAAGCTATTTTTCTGTTTAAGATGTAGATCATACAATAAATATGACTTGAGTGATTGAGATTATTTCTGTTTGTGAATTTGTGATTTCTTTAGCGGTGAATCATGATAAATTATTACCATCTCCGTTTGTGTATTTTCAAGTTCATTAACATCGAAATGTTGTGTAAACCAAATAATGAATATGATAAGTTGTGAAAAATATCAACTTTATTATGGCGATTTACCAAACAATGGATACAATATAGCAAAATTCTTAGATTTCCTAACCTATTCTATCATATCCTATTATATCCAGTCATATCCTGACTAGAAATCCATACGATCAAACGCAACCTAAGTAGTTAATTAAATAAATAAATCGTATGTTTTTGATCCACCAAACTGAATTCATAATTGTGATTTAGTCGAATGCATACTGATCGCGCCGGTGTTGGGGGATTCAAGGAGGAAGGATTTCCTCGCGACCGAGTTGAAAGTTGTTGGATTGAGCATGGACTTGGCCCAAGGAATCTCGCGTTTTCTCGAAACGCGTTGTCTTATCGTGTGATGATCGGTCTCGATTGGGGTTAAGTGCGTCGTATTAAACATCTAACGAGACTAAAAGCCCCTTTGGGTTGTGGAAAATTATTGATTTTTTGAAAACATCATATCAGAAAAATGATCGTTTATATTGCTTACAAAAACGAAATAACAAGAAATATTTTTATTATTCACGAAAATCTTGAGACATAAATTTTTGTTGGTAATGAAATTTTTCATCGACTAATTACATAATCGACACAAGTTGTCAGTTTAGGAAAATGCTTTTCAAATTACTCATTTTTTTCACGAGACAAATGAAGTCTAAGACCATATCATATCTTTGTGGGTGCCGATTTTTGTAAACCAACCTTTAAATATACGTGTATTTTCAAAAGTCAAAAATGAAAAAAAAAAAAAATCTGTGTATCGAGAAGAGAAAGATGATGAAATGCAAAGTGTCTATTCTGAACCGTTGGATGAGCACCCAACTTTGGGTCCGGTGTCACGTGATGACGGTGATGACAACGTCCAGCTTCTCCTGATTCCTTTGATCTCTTTGTACGATGTTCCTCCATACCGTCCCATTTTACTTTGATTAATGTTGAAGACATATTATAATACATGTATAGAATTTATTAACGAGAATTCTCGAGACATTTTAAGCAAGCCATTAAAAATCAAATTCCTAGACATTGACATTCCGTGTGATTATACACGTAGAGGGCGGGAGATTAGGGCGTTCGATAAAGAAACGGGCGGCACCCCATATGAGCTCCTCGAAAGTCCGTGGGACTTTGCGACCGGCGGAAACCCTCGGAGCCGTGAAACGATCGACCTGTGAATGCGCGATCTGCACGGGATGAAGCTCAGGGCCCGAGATCGACGGGCTATTCGCCGTGAAGGCTCTGCGTGCTCTGGATTGCTTATCTTATATCGCGATGCCGAAGAAAAAAGTTGCTGATCGATAGATAGGTCAAGGCTGGCTATGCACATTAAAATACACAGGACGAAGCAACTGCCCGTTGGTGCCCACGAGAGAAATGAAGAGTAAACGATGCGTGCAAAGCGCAACCTCTTTATTAGCTAGCACGTTATTTTCCATATTAAACGGTCATTTAGGCGGATTAAATAATTAAATAAATATAATATAATATAAAAGACAAAAGGTCCCGACAAAAGCAACTTCTTTCCCGGCGGACGGTTAAATAATATTCGTATACACGAGTCGATTACTTTAGTAGCTTTTGCTAAAAAATAACGTTGGAAGAGGTAAGAAAAATATCAATTATATATAATTCGTTACGACACTGTGATGTCAGCGGGGATGTAGCTCACATGGTAGAGCGCTCGCTTTGCATGCGAGAGGTACGGGGTTCGATACCCCGCATCTCCAATTTTTTTTAAATATTTTTTTAATGTTTTTCTCATTATGTTTTTAAACAATTTGAGATAGAGAATTCAGAATTTGAGAATAATGTAATTGGAATTAGAAAATATCTTTCGTACAAGAACTGAATTTTCTGATAAAAATTGAACAAGCAACACTCGACGTACTTTATTTTCCCTTCTCTCTTTCCTATGAATTCAATTTCGCTATATATATATATTATTAATTATTGATTATTATTTTTGGGTACTTTTTATTTCTCCTTCTCGTAGTCCTGGCTGGTGTAGGGGCTGAACGCTTCGAAGAACCAGTTCCGCTTCCTCCAAGCGCTCCATCCCATCTCCTCGCATATCTCGTCGTCGTGGTTGATGCTGTAGGTGGAGATGCAGTGCCGCTTGTAGAACCTGGTGGTCCTCTTGCTCACCTCGATCTCCCTCGCCGTCTGCTCCAGCATCCCCTCCACGGTCGGCAGCTTGAACTCGCCGCCCGCGAGGCGGCTCAGCCACTTGCACCCGAGCTCCGCCGAGTGCAGGTTCGACACGCTCTCCAGGTACCCCACGAACGCCATGTTCGGGATCAGCGGATGGATCATTCCCCTGCCCCACGACGAAAACGCGACGAACACACGGTTTAATTTCCGTGCCAACAGGCTAGTGCTCAAGCTATGTGAATTTCATTGAGAACACGTGAATTACCTGTACAAGGGCATGATGCCGGAAGGGAACTCGACCACGCTGCGGAAGGGCTCGGGCAAGATGGACTTGATCTTTAGCTTGCCCTCATAACCGGTGGCCAGAGCCACGACGTCGGCCTCGACCCGTGTCTTGTCGTCGAACTCGATCCCTCCTTCCCAGAACCACCACTTGGATGGCCTCTTGAACACGATCTTGCCCTTCTCTGCTTCGCTGAAGAAATTCTCGGGCACAATTGCCATCTGGCATGAGGCGTAGTCTTCCTCAAACGGGTGTTCCGGCTTCAGGCCGTGCTTCTCCAGGGGCATTTTCCACAGCAGATAGGACTCGATGAACTTCGACACTCCACGCCTCTATTGAACACCACGAAAAATACACAGTTTGTCAATGCTCATCTACGTATAAGCTTTTGCAAGAATGGGGCTCAGCTAATCGCGGTGCGAAAAGCATGCGAGCTTGGTCGGTCAATATGGGTTAGATGCATCGATATTGAAATGGTTAGCGAAAATTGAACTTCAGTAGAAACTAAGCTAGGAAAATAAAGGGGCTTTGAACTCACCAGAGGGGTAAAAAGGAGGCAAAGGAGGGTCTTGAGGAGAGATTGGTTGGGCCTCTCATGGAGGAACTGAGAGAATCTCGTGGAGTAAAACAGGAAGAATGGCAAACCCCAGACCCAGTAGTGCGGCACGATCCAATGCCGTGTTCTCACTATCATGGTGCACGGTTTCCCTTCTGGTCCTATTCAATCCAAGAAAAACCAGAGAAAAATCAACATTCGCACGTCCAACAAAAAGAGA